AATTCTACTTCTACCAGTCCTTCATCACCTTAAACGAAATTGGGTGAATATATCTTATAACTGATTTACTCGTAGTCACGAAAAACAATACTTAATTCGAAAAAATAGGTTCTAATAAAAATAAAAATACACCTTGAATAATATGAAGAAAAGCTGAGTTATTTTAAGTCGTGCTATCTTGTAAATTATGGATTCTAGCTTCGCTAATGCCTGTCACAGCTTAGCGCGGGCTAATCGGAGTAGCAAGACTTTTTCGCACAATCCAACAGCCTCCACTCCCCATTCGGTCTCAGCTATGATAAATTCGCAAATGCCTTCCATACAACTTTTCCTTCGAAATGGAAAGTATAATCACCAAAAGTTACTTTGCTTAGCCAATCTGAAAACCATGTTAAATGATAATAGGATTGTTTGCATAGAAAGTAGTTTTCAAGACTATCAGTAGATTTTGAATAAGAATTCAAGTGACCATATGTAGCATACGAGATTAATTATAAGTAGGTGAAGTTTCCCACGCTAATATGCCCAAATCTTAGGATACCGTCTAATTTCATTTAGCCTCGCTTCCCAAAAGGTATTCTTATCCAGGACTGACTGCACCTTCAGCCCTGGGTAATATAATTTCTATACATTAAAATTAATCAGTGAAGAAATTTAGGGGTAAGATAATCACCATATCAGGGCTCAAATACGATCCAAAATCAGAGGCGTCAAGATGCTCATTAATAGAAAAGTCATCTAAATTCTCAAGATAAAAGTTATAGTTGTTAGAATGCTGTTAAATCAGGCTAATAATAAAGCTAAATATGAGAGAAGGTTGACGGAATGCTAAGCTTCACTACTCAAAAACGACTGTCATTAAACTCGAATTCTATATAAAATAAATAACGCTAAGTAAACCAAACATAATTCAAGGGAACGGAGCAGGAAATGTAAGACTAGAAAAATGTCCAGATTAGAGCAAGTAAGATTAAATTTGTGGCATGCCATATGACAAATTGATAATTATTAGAACATCCAGTAAAAAGAAGTCATGATATTCAGATAACTAATCAAGCTGTTGCTAAAATTATAAACTGAAAGCCTCCTAAAGTTATGAATATCGTATATTTATGACAACAAAGTGCATGATAATATAAACTAAACTCATAAAGTATAGAAAAATACCAATAGCTATCTCATGAAACTATATTGAATAAATTTAAAAAGTAAGTCTTTGCAGACCAGATTTAACCATAATGCCAAGTCCAGTTTCTGAATCGTGTAGAGAGGTATGTCTATAGCGATCCATCAAACTGTTTGAATGAATTGGTTTGCGTATAGTATTATTGACGTATAAATGATACCTACGAATGGATTAGTGGCTCAATCACAAAAATTGTCAACTGGCTGTATTGATGCTAAATTGAATGTCAAGGAATCACCACAAGTCAGTGAAATATGATTCATAGTTATTAAATAAAAAATGAATTATGTTATGAAGGTTGCTCTATTAGCCAAGTATAGATTCCATCATTATTGACTCAATAACCCTCAATGGACAAAATATAAAAAATAAAATTATGGAAATAGATCGATACGGTAACACGAATTACTAATATTCTGAATACCTGTGATCTGTGATCGTATTGAGAAAAATCGACGTGAGCAACAATTTTACACTTTACTTGGCATCCTATATATTTTTATTAATGCTGATTTAGTGGGATACAGACGAGGTAGAAATTTGATGTCGTTATTGAGGTTGGAAATCAACTATGGTGAAGGGCAGTGAAATTTAATTTAAAATGGATATCAACTAAGTCAACACTAATATCATTTTTGCTCTGAAAATTAAGGATAAATCTTGACTCTAAGTCAGGATATAACTTTTAGACCGCCAAGTGCGCGAGTGATAACATAAAGAATAGCAGACATGTGGTGGACCTTCACCGATAAGATCAATTTTTAGCTTCGATCCACAATGGGCCTTGTAACAAAAAAGGACAGTGACAGATATATCAATAACAATATCTCATATTGTAAGGTAATGGTAAAAAGTCATATGAATTCGTCGATTTAGGGTTGCTGGTATGAGAAAATGGAAAGAAAAAATTACAGGCTTGGTAAATGTAAACAGAAAAATGCAGTAAGATAACTAAACGGAATCTTTGAGACAAGCCGCCAAGCGTCTAGGTGTTCTGTAGCAAATTTTTTAAAAATAGTGTCACACGATTGTGGAAGTATCTAATAAGAAAAGGAACCATCCATCAGCCGGATGCCAAGAGAACTCGACGGATAATAAACAAACTAGGAGCCCAAGTTATTATTGAGATTTGCAAACGTGGCCATGTGATGGTGGTGGTTATTGATCTTTCGAACTCCGATACAAACGATAAATAGGAAAAACATTTTTGATCAAATATTATTTGAAGATTTACAAAAATCCTGTCTGATCTCCTGGCCTCAAAATAAGGACTTGGTACCGCAAAATTTGTCGTGAATACGTTCATTGTGACTGAATAACTTGTGTTTTCATACGATGGACCTTAGCAACCAATGTAACGATTGCCAAGAAGCAGCATTTTGGCTTCGAGGGTGCAATAAAGTGCAACATTTTGTCTTAATGCCACTCGCCTCATTTAGTAGCACATTCTCCAGTTTTCTAGCATTCCCGATTCCCTACAAAAAGTTACGATTTGGATACATTTTGATGATTGAAGTTGAGCGCTATTGCAGGTTCCCCAACGGATTGTCTGCAACAATAACTCAAAGCGCTGATGTGCTAGTAACCCTTGGATTGTGAACTGCATTGACCCAATAAATCAAGCAATAGGGATGGAGAAGCCCTTGCATGATATGTGTGCCTCACGTGCGCTAGACTCTCTGCAGGTAGGCAAAGCCGGCCTATCAAGTTCTCATTGCTAAGAAATACTCGATTAAGGCATTTGCGCCATCTTGGAGTTTAAATATCCTGCACTTTTTGTCTTAAAAAGTGCTAACACACAGCTAGTAATAAAACTAGGTACCGGAAAGATCTATTTAAAAAGGATAAGTAAAGGTGCCCTAGGAGCAGCGAATGGTGGAATATATTTGTGAGTTATCTCGAAAACCTACTCACTTGAGAAGATATTTAGTTTTATCAAGTCAAGTTGCAGAAAGAGGAATTTGTTTCCGATCTCGGCGACGACATGAGCCACGGCCAATGAGGCACATGAGAGCTTAGTACATGGTTTTCACGCATGCAATTCCGGTTCGTCAAGTAACTTCAAGTATCTGCAAGCATTTTGAATAAGTTTGAGGTAGTCAACAAAAGCATGCAATGCCTCATTAAGATCGCAAGGCTAGATGTACAAAAAAGCGATTACGGTTGCGGCCGGCCACCTTTGAGTAAAGTATAAATTCTTGCTCTGATGATATATATCTTGGTGGTACAGACAAAAGCTTGGCACAGGCTAATCAGAGTTGCATGGCTTCTTTGCGCAATAGAAAACTTTTAGCTACTCGGAATTCCTTCTTCGTGTCCTGTGAGAGCACATCACGAATTCCTTCCGACCAACTTTTCCTTCGAAATTTTTCGAAACTCGGTTTTTCTTAATATTTTCACACAAAAGGTTTGCGAGCTTAGTGGGGCTCGTCTCGATTCAGGCATGATAGAAGCAGTATTATGAGATGTATTCACTCAATTTCGTTTAAGGTGATGAAGGACTGGTAATAGAATTTTCTCATATTATGATTGACCGGCAGTCTCGAAATACCACTTAAATACGGAAAATAAATACAGTAGCCGATTGTTATAACAAATATACGTTTGCTTCATCGACAATCCCACCAAAGAATATGATATTACAAAAAGGCCTGGCCTTCGCTGAAATTCGCATTTGCCCTATGACCCAAAGGCACTTGTGGCAATGTGGTAGAGTGGTTAGCGTGTCAAGCTCCCATTCTGCACTGTCACGGTGCGAGGTCGAAACTGCAGTCCACCCTGGATGAAAACAACTTTTGAGAAAGCAAGGCTATGTGAAATTCAATGGAAACGTCAGCTCTACTCATATCATTGTGGCAAAAGTATACTACCAGTCCTTCATCACCTTGAACGAAATTGGATGAATACATCTCATATTACTGATTTACTGGTAGTCTCCAAACTCTACTTAAATACGAAAAATAATAGAAGCAGTTAAAGATTTGTGTATATATGCTGCCTCTCATGCTGATTGACTCATAGTCTGGACCAGCCCTCAGGCAGGAAGTGAATAACTAGCCAATCTAAGTTTTGTGCGAAGGCAAAGCTTGGTTGGACCAGAAGTGGAATTTTAGCAAATCGGCCCAACTCATATTTCAGCACTGCATAGCACAGGCCAGTCATCGATTTCTCCTCATTTTCCCGGAATGCATTTGACCCTGAACGGACGCCTTAAATTCAGTGAGTATCGATTATCTCGGTTTTCTTCATGTTCGAATCGGCCGTGAAGAGTCTCGCCCAGATGATACGCATGGACTTAGACTCTGGCTTAGTAGGAACCGACTTTCTTGGCACGAGGGCGTCTGCTGACGCGCGGTACGCCGTCTCTTTTAGTCTCGGATCTGTAGCTGCACCATGTCGAGCCGGAGACACCTCAGCATAAAGAGGAGCACGTTGACTGTGTTGACCGAGTCAGCGCCCACGATGACAGCTTGACTAGCCCCGCATCAGCAAAAGGACTTTGAAGATATGCTCGGGGTGCCTTTTCAGTGGGGTTACACGGCCCGTTTACGGCTGCCCTTTGTGCTCACTCGTCTACAGAAGTTACCACCACCATCACCGTACCGACGCCGTGTACCACTGTTTACACAGTTCTACTTGTACACTCCAGCCGCTCCACTACATTCGTCCATTTTATAGTCCACTCTGGCGTTCCCTCAATATGCCTCAGCTCAGGCCTATCCTCTGCCAAGAAGGACGGGGGCCTGACCTCGAGCGCCTGACAAAAAGGCGTCCTACGAACACGGGCTCCTGCACAAGCAACCACAGGCAAAAGCTGACCGAGGCCCAGTAGCCGGTGCGTTGGTTTTGAGTCATCAATGTAGGGTGGCGGACTGACCGTCAACAGATGCATTACACACACAGAAACGACAACATGCGTCGACATTAGAGGATTATGTGCTAGTTTATTTATTTTTGTAAGGAAACGGCTGTCATTGCATCCACTTTTTTTTCCTTTTTCATAAATCATTTTCACCCTTTAGCAAGCGTGTAATAGTAAGCATGAGGTAGCCGACTTAATAATGGAACGAATCATTAAGATCGAGAAAGTAGACTTGCAGCCAACTAACTTTCCCTTAAACAACTATATTGTAATATTGCTATTTAGTTAGATATTGCTTCTTGCTTTAATGATGTCTGTCACATGACAACCTAGCACAAATTAATCGGAGTAGCATGATGGTGAGCCAAGTACATCTTCGCACAATCTAACACTCGTCACTCTAAATCAGTCAATGCTCTACCGGTTTTCGGTAATACTAATTCACAAAATCCTTCGGCGAGCAATTCTATGGAGGTCCAACACGGTAGGCTGCTCCTCCCAGCCACAGTCTAGGTGGAGGGTAAGAAGACGAGAACAATTCACAGGACAAGTCGTTACGATGTCTGATGCTGGCGCAACTTTCATTTCGTTCGAAGTGGCGAGTGGAAGGGATGCTTAAATTGGCCTCACCGGAAGCAGAAGAATGGCTGTGGAGTCGTGCAAATAAGTACTCGCTTCAAAGCGAAATACGCGCCAACATTAAGCGATTAAAGCAATCTTCGAAAGCCAGCTTTTCACATTTATATCGTTTTGTTGATTTGTATGTTTGTCGTTTCAAACCAATATTGATAATTGCGGCGGCGGAAGGATGGTAACAGATTGTGTTATTCAGACCGATTCAAATAGACAGCAAATTTGCTGGTGCGAGGTGAGCAGGATAAATAGGCAAGTAGGCCAATCGAAGGGCTACGACCAAACTACCGATTTATCGATCAGCCCTAAACGCGAATTTATCGATCCCTTTTTGTTGGTGTATCTCTTTACCCGCTTCGGGGAATTCTCTGCAGAATTCAAATGCGTATTGTATCCTATGCATGTCTTGCATGCAGCTCGTCCTGTTCTCTCTCACTATTTAATTTCTGTTTGGTGGTCTGTCTGCATGTCAGTCCGCTGGCCTGTCTGCCTACGGGCGTGCCAATGTCGGCCTGCCAAAAAGAGCGGTCTTAACCAAGACTTTGCAGCCGTGGCAAACTCTTTCGTCTATTCACTCGTCTAGCTACATCTGCCCACGGTTTATCCGCTCGGCATCAATAGTTTCAAAACGACAGATCAATAAAACTTTGTCTTATTCTCTAGCCCGCCTGCCGGCTGGCTCGCTCTCTCACAGGTTTGCGAGCCCGTCGGAAAATAAAATCGATAATTTCGCCTGGCACGTTAGGCAGACTAGAGAACGCAATGTCTCGATATGTGTGTGCGTGTCTTCGTGCGTATGTGTGCATGTACGCAGAACAGTAGTGTACAGCGGATGAGATAATCCATGTAAGAACCATAACCATAAGAATTAAGAGAATAATTTAAATGAATTAGTTAAGCTTAAACTTAAATCTAGCCCACCTGAAAAGGCAATCTTCACGTTCGCACAGATCAGGGACACATTAGCACGAATTTTAACAAAAAGATCATCTCTTCTTCAAGCCAGGCCGACCAACATTAAAGAGGGTTACATGGGCCAGGACAGATTGGCCGTAGGGATGGTCTGGGATGTGATTGCCCACCTTCAGTTAGTCTTCCTCAGGGCCAGTGCCGGAGGGTCCCCGAGTTGAGGCTTCTCTCTGAGCCCACCGGCCAAGATGACCACGGAGAAACGATCGACGGACGAGAAGCCGAGGCAAAACCGATCTGAGATCAGAGGTGATGTCAGTTGCAATGCGAAACCGGGATAGGGCTTAGTTTCCGGCTCCACGTGTACACATCTCCTACACTGATATACTCCTTACGAGAGGCCCGATCCTCAAGTAACCTTGCACTAGGCGATAGGCCAATAGCGAACTGACAAGAATGGGATTTCGTGGCTTCGACGGACAACTCGTACGTCGTGCTGTCCCCGTAGACGGTCTTAGAGGGCGGATATAATTGTTTTAGGAGAGCAGCAACGCACCCGTGCTGGAAACAATCAGCCTGTTGGCCCTGGAGCGTTGTCGCTGGCGTACCCATCATTTTGTTGAAAAGGCGGATGGAAGGGATGCGTAAATAGGCACCATCAGGAGTCGAAAGAGGAGTGCCAAGAGGGCGTGATTGCTGGATTGTGCCAAGACGACCTCGACTCAATGCCATGCGACATCGACGAATCTGTGATCAGCCTCTGCCTATTTCCGTGACAGACTTCAAGGCCAGAAAGCATCATTGGAGAAAAATTCAGCAAGAGGATAAAACCGAGTAAGCGGGCGGGTTGAAGTGCTAATTATTTCTTGAACTAAACCTTACCTTCACAATAAGACCTCTTGTGATTTGGTTGGCCACCTCAAATCTACCCTGCATGCATGCAGGCGAGTGGGGTTGATGCATTGAAAGTAAAGCGGATGTGGTCACAGTTATGTCCTGACTTAAATTAACTAGCCTATGATCCCGCAATGCTGATGCGCTTTGTATGTAGTTTATTTTGAAGAGGCGATTGGAGCACAATTAAACACGTCAACATAGAATCCTCAAAAATACATGTGATTTGTGCCGCCAA